CACTGAAAATAATTTTTAAAATCTGGGTTCACAGGCCGGCCATGGTGGCTCATGCCTGTAATCCTAGCACTTTGGTAGGCTGAGACAGGCAGATCACCTGAGCTCAGGAATTAGAGACCAGCCTGGCCACATGGCGAAAATATCTCTACAAAAATACAAAAATTAGCAGGGTGTGGCAGCATGCGCATGTAATCCCAGCTACTTGGAAGGCTGAGGCAGGACAATCACTTGAGCCCGGAAGGCGGAGGTTGCAGTGAGCCGAGATCACTCCAGCCTGGGTGACAAAGTGAGACTCTGTCTCTCAAAAAAAAAAAATAAATAAATAAAAATAAATAAAAGAAGAAATAAGGTCCTGACCTATAGACAGGGATGATAAGCACTGACTGCTGACCCAGTGATAGTCTAGGTTATCAAGGGAAGTCAGAGAAAGACCAAGTCAAATCTGACTGAAGGGGGAGGGGGCTGAAAAGCCATGCCCCTGAGATCATCTCACCTCCCTTGTCCACTGCCTACCCCTCAGTCATGTAAGGTCTTCCTACAAGACAAGGGGAAAGAAGCAGGTTATCAGTGATAACTAGCTGCTGCCTAATTACCCAACCCTGCTGGGAGACAGTAGGTCCCTGGATAATCAAGAGTTGATTACAGATGGTCAATGTTTTCATCATTATTACTTGAAAAGGCTGTGTTTATGGGCTGATACATTCATGAAGATTTAGCATGATTATTCAAGGCTTCTAATACTTCAGGATTTATCAGAATATATAGATGAGAACGCTCATATATGAGGAGAGTAGCTGAAAATAATTTCCTTTACAACTACTGAAAGACACCCAGGTATTTTCAAGAAAGTTGCCAATCCTGTTCCTAGGAGTTTCTTGGGACAACAATCTTGGTTATGTAGTCTGACTCACCTGAGCAGTTCCTCCAACGGCTGGCTGTGTTCTCCCTGTTTCAGTCGGCTACTAAGGACATGGAGGGCTGAATACAGTAAATTCTGATTTTCAGGTTGAGAAAATCCACTCCTAAGGAAGTCAAGGTAAGAGGGGTTAGCTTAGTTTCTGGAAAACTACTTGGATAATATTTAAGGATCCTGGCCTCCAGTCTATACCATCAATAGTTTAACAGTTTGAAAAAAGAATTGAGAGGTCAGGCGTGGTGGCTCATGCCTGTAATTCCAGCACTTTGGGAGGCCAAGGCGGGCGAATCACGAGGTCAACAGATGGAGACCATCTTGGCCAACATGGTGAAACCCCGTCTCTACTGAAAATACAAAAATTAGCTGGGCGTGGTGGTGGGCGCCCATAGTCCCAGCTACTCAGGAGGCTAAGGCAGGAGAATCGCTGGAACCAGGGAGGCAGAGGTTGCAGTGAGCCGAGATTGTGCCACTGCACTCCAGCCTGGTGACAGAGTGAGACTCCATCTCAAAAAAAAAAAAAAAGAAAAAAGAATTGAAATGGAAAGTACTGAAGTACCAAATTCAATCACAGCTCTAAGTATCAGAGTAGAAATTGAAATACATCCAAAGTAATCTTTCCTGAAGTCTTCACAGGCTTCTTTTCTTCTTTCTTGTCACAGGTGTGAGCCACCACGCCTGGCCCATAGGTTTATTTTCAAGGGCAAAAAGCTCTCCTTCATTCCCTACATTTTAGAGATAGGTAGTCTTCTTAAAAAATATAGTAATAATTTTGTCCAACTGCTAAATCAATGTCCAGCCCATAGTGGTACTTACCCATTCTCCTACATTAACCAGTCAAGTCTTGACATTTCTATCTTTGGATTACCTTTCATATTGTCCCTTCCTTTCCAAGCCCAGACCATCATTTTGGCCAGGCCCCTATCAATACATGTGTAGATCATAGTGACACATGTATTTTTGAGTGTTCTTTTTGCATCTCTTTTCAATCTGTCCTGCACGCTGCTGCCAGAAGGGTTTTCCTAAACCACTGCTTTCATTGCATCATGGCTATGATCATAAAACTCCAAAATGGCTTCCCTGGACAACATTTAAATTATTCTGCCTGACTTTTGACGCCCAGCACAATCTGACTTCCTAGATGTTCTCCTCTAGAAGCATTTTCCCGACCACCAGTGATAGTAATTCTTCTTTTCAACAAATGTATTCTGAGGGCCTATTAGGTGTCAGGTTTTATGTCTACCATAGCTTCAATGAGATATAATTGATGTACAGCAAACTTCATGTATTTAAAATGTTGAATTTGGGCCAGGTATGGTGGCTCACGCCTCTGATGCCAGCACTTTGGGAGGCTGAGGCAGGTGGATCACTTGAGCTCAGGGGTTCGAGACCAGCCTGGGGGCAACATGGAGAAACCCTGTCTCTACCAAAGAAAAACAAACAAACAAAAAAAAAGCAAAAATTAGCTGGGCATGGTGGTACGTGCCTGCAGTCCCAACTGCTTGAGAGGCTGAGGTGGGAGGATTTATAAGCCTGGAAGGCAGAGGTTGCAGTGAGCTGCGATTGCGTCACTGCACTCCAGCCTGGGCAACAGAGCAAGACCCTGTCTCAGGGGAAAAAAAAAAAAAGCCGGGTGTGGTGGCTCACACCTGTAATCCCAGCACTTTGGGAGGGTAGATCATGAGGTCAGGAGTTCAAGATCAGCCTGGCCAAGATGGTGAAACCCCGTCTCTACTAAAAATACAAAAATTAGCCGGGCACGGTGGCAGTCGCCTGTATTCTCAGCTATTCAGGAGGCTGAGGCAGGAGAATCACGTGAACCTGGGTGGCAGAGGTTACAGTGAGCCGAGATTGCGCCACTGCACTCTAGCCTGGGCGACAGAGTAAGACTCCGTCACACACATACACACACACACACGCACGCACACAAGCATGGGAAACAAGTTCAGAATATACTATGTAAAACCACAGGCTAAATTGCTAAAAATATTCCTGTATCAGACCCTGGTGGATATATGCTTTCATTTCCCTTGGTTAAATACCTAAAGACGGAATGGCTGAGTCACATGGTAGGTACACGTCTAGCTTTTTAAGAAACTACCAAACTATTTCTCAATATGGATGTACTATTGTAAAGTCTCCCTAGAAGCATGTGAGAGCTCGTTGCTCCACATTCTCACCAACACTTGGCATGCTAAGTCTTTTTAATGTAGCTATGCTAGTGAGTGTGTTGTGCTATCTCATCGTGCTTTTAATTTGCATTTCCTTAAGAAGTAATAAATAAACATCTTTTCATGTATTTATTCTAATTATTGTTTTTATAATTTTTAGAGATGGTTTATTTTCTGTGTTAACTTCGCTGGGCCATTGTGCCCAGATTTTTTTTTTTTTTGAGACAAGGTCTGGTTCTGTTGCCCAGATTGGAGTGCGGTGTTGCAATCTTGGCTCACTACAACCTCTGCCTCACAGGCTCAAGCCATCCTGTCACCTCAGCCTCCTGAGTAGCTGGGACTACAGATGCATGCCACCATGCCCAGATAATTTTTGTATTTTTTGTAGAGATAGGGTTTTGCCGTGCTGCCCAGGCTGGTCTCGAACTCCTAAGCTCAAGTTATCCACCCACTTTGGCCTCCCAAAGTGTTGGGATTACAGGCATAAACCACAATGTCAGGCCCCTTTCACACGTGCCATCCATAAGTCTCCTCGATAAATTGTTCAAATTTTTTGTCAGGCACTGCTTTTAAGTACTGAGGATATTAAAATGACAGACATCTGCCTTTATGGAGCTCAGAGTCTAGCAGGAAAGACTGCTGAACAAGTAATTATAATAAAATGAAATTAAGTTTTATCACGAACGGATACCAGAGTGTTAGAAGAGAACTGGGGGTTAGAGAGGCAGGATGGATGCTTAAGTCCAGATCTCAAGAGATGTGATGAGTCAGAAAAAGTTGGGGATCAAGAAGAGTGGGGGTCCTGGCAGGAGAATGAACATGTGCAAAGCCTCCCACATAAAAGCTATATGGGGTGCTGAAATTAACTCAGTGAGGCTAGAGGCAGAGTATAATATAATAAATGGAATAGCAGGAGTCAGAAAAAGACCTAGAGGCTAGGTAAGAGAGTTTTAACTCAAGAAAAATCTAAGAGCAATCAGAAATCCAAATTGGGATAGGATCAAATTGGGTTTATGTTAGGAAGATCACTCTTACTGCCATGTGAAGAATGGACTGAGAGAGGCCAAGTGTGAACCTAGCCCAGTCCAGGTTGAGAGATAATGGGAGTTTGGAAGCAGTGGAGAAACAGGGACAGATGGCTATCTGGATGTTATTTATAACAGAAAATAAAATCAACAGGATTTGGCAATCAGATGTGGGAAAAAGACGGTGGAGAGCAGAGGGAGGGACAAAGAATAACTCCTGGTTTCTGGTTCAGGCAATTGGTGGTACCATGTACTAAGCCAGACAAAGCTGAAGGAGCGTGCTAGGGATGACACATTCCATTTTGGATGTGGAGTCTGAGGTGTCAATGACACATCTAAGGAGGTGTTGAGTAGGCAGTTGGATATAAATGCCTATAGCTCAGAAAATAAATTTTGGCTAAATTTAAGCTTGGGTAGGATTGACCAGAAATCTTGTATAATGAGAACAGAGAGCCCAAGGTCTGTCCCTGATGAACAAAAGTATTTAAGGGGCACACCTCCCTTAGTTCTACTTTTGTCCATGTTGTACCTTCCACCTCCTTTCTTTATCTCTCTAAAGGCCATGTACCCTTTTGGGGTTCCCTCGAGTCCCACTGTTTCCATGAAGGTATCATGGAATAGTCCAGCTCACACTGTGTTCAGCCCGTCACCAAACAATCTGGAATTAAAGCATGCTAAAGGAAACTGGACTGAGGATCAGATGGCCAGATCTGTTATATGTTAGCTCATCAGCAAGTCACCTAATTTGTCAAATGGTTAACAATAGTGACTCCAAAGGACTCAGAGGGTATCAGATCAAATGAAATAATACAGACAAGAACACTCCCACAAAATTAAAGAACCATATTTACATAAGGTTTTTGAACCTTTTCTTTCTTTTCTACATTTCAGTGCCTTGGTGACTGTTAAGTAAAAGCAAGTATATAATCATTTCTCTCCACACTTCCCACATACTTACCAAGCAAAAAGCCCATGAAAAATCTGCAGCAGCCTTTGATAGCAGGAAGACATTATGTGGTACTCCTGAACTTTCATTCCTGGTCCATCAACTACACCATGATTCTCAGCAGCTAAACACTAAAAATAAAAATGATTTTAGGACAGTTGCTTCAGTAATTGTCCTCATTTTCCTTTTTCTCAGCCAAAAATAAAACCTCATATTTGCTTAGTGGCTTCTAAGTCTAGGCTTCTGACCTGAAAATAGTTGTGAATGTTCTCCAGGTGGTTACACATTGGGGTCACCAGTTGAAAAACACAATGAACAATTTCTTGGGCAGATCTCTGTTGGAGATGTGAGAATCCAATATTCCGGCTTCCTTTGTTCTATAATAAATTCAGAGTTATGAGTGAAGAAATTGCTGGATAGCTTCTCAGAAACTAAGGGTTCGCAATGGAGTCAAGTCAAACCTGTGTCACCAGGTAGGAGCAGATGGGAGAAATGAGTTGTTCACCTAAGACTATATTCTAACAGAGGGATAAAAATCTTGCTCCATCTTCTAATGACTGAGAGATTGGCTTTTGTAGAGGAGGAACAGTGTTTGATTGAGACATATAGCCCTATCATAACTAATCAGATAAAGGTCACATAAAAGTAGAAATCATGGTGCTAAGCTGAATCCACACTTGGAGCAAGGGATCACGAGGTCAGGAGATCAACATCTGTAACAGTGAAACCCTCTACTAAAAAAAAAAAAAAAATACCGCAGGCGGCGCCGATCCACTACCGGAGCTCAGCAGAAATGTAAACCAAGCAATTGCATGAGCTGAGATCGCCACGCACCCACTGCGACAGAGAAACCTGTCAAAAAAAAAAAAAAAAAAAAAAAGTAGAAATCATTTAGGTTGACAAATGTAGAGCAATAGACTCCTTCTTATAACTTTTTTTTTTTTTCTTTTTGAGACAAGGTTCTGCTCTGTCACCCAGGCTGGAGTGCAGTGGCACGATCACAGCTCACTGCAGCCTTGAATTCCTGGGTTCAAGTGATCCTCTCACCTCAGCCTCCCAAGTAGCTGAGACCACAGGCACATGCCAACAAACATGGCTAGTTTTTGTAATTTTTGTAGAGATGGGGTTTAACCACATTGCCCAGGCTGGTCTCAAACTCCTGAGCTCAAGCAATCCACCATCTTGGCCTCCCAAAGTGTTAGGGTTAAAGGCGTGAGCCACTGTGCCCTGCCTCCCTCTTATAATTGAAAAACAAACAAATAAAAAAAAGATAAAAAAAAAAAAAAAAAAAAAAAAAAAAAAAAAAAAAAAAAAAAAAAAAAAAAAAAAAAAAAAAAAAAAAAAAAAAAAGAAAAAATGTAAAAGCCTGGGCAACATGCTGAAACTCTTATTTACAAAAAATACAAAAATTAGCTGAGTGTGGTGGCACATGCCTATAGTCCTAGCTACTCAGGAGGCTGAGGTGGGAGGATTACTTGAATCCAGGAGGTGGAGGTTTCAGTGAGCCAAGACTGTGCCACTACACTCCAGCCTGGGCAATATAGCAAAGCCTTGTCTCAAAAAGTAGAGCCAATAGTGAATACAAAGAAGAATGAATTGCTGGGCACTGTGGCTCTCGCCTGTAATCCCAGCACTTCGGGAGGCTGAGGCAGGCGGATTACGAGGTCAAGAGATCGAGACAATCCTGGCCAACATGGTGAAACCCCGTCTTTACTAAAAATAAAAAAATTAGCCGGGCATGGTGGCGTGCGCCTGTAGTCCCAGCTACTTGGGAGGCTGAGGCAGGAGAATCGCTTGAACCTGGGAGGCAGAGGTTGCAGTGAGCCAAGATCAAGTCACTGCACTCCAGCCTGGCAACAGAGGAAAACTCCAACTCAAAAAAAAAAAAAAAAAGAAGGAATCAAGAAACTGGATATATTGATGTTTAAAATGCTTATATCCAAGACTTTCTTATTTTGTTATATGCACCATCCAACTGCTTCCCCGGATATTAGGTGCATGTTTGTACACTACATACACATCTGAAGTTCTGGCCGCTCTAGACAGCTTACTACTACATTGAGGCATGGGCCCGGGCTTAGTTTGGGAGGCTGTTGAAACCAAAATTCAAGTGAAGAACAGGATTCAGGAATGTTTAGGGCATTTAGAAATACACTTCGTAGGTCGGGCGTGGTGCTCACGCCTGTAATTCCAGCACTTTGGGAGGCCGAGGTGGGCGGATCATGAGGTCAGGAGTTTGAGATCAGCCTGACGAACATGTTAAAACCCCTTCTCTACTAAAAATACAAAAATTAGCTGGGCACGGTGGTGCGCGCCTCTAGTCCCCAGCTACTCAGGAGGCTGAGGCATGAGAATTGCTTGAACCCAGGAGGCAGAGGCTGCAGTGAGCCGAGATCGTGCCACTGGGCAACGGAGCGAGACTGTCTCAAAAAAAGAAATACATTCCTTATTCCAAGTGCCTTTCTATTTTCTGTTTCAGACTTCCTTTTTTTTTTTTTTTTTTTTTTTTTAAATTTCTGAGACGGAGTCTCATTCTAATGCCCAGGCTAGAGTGCAGTAGCATGATCTTGGCTCACTGCAGCGTCTACCTCCTGGGGTCAAGCAAATCTTCTGCCTCAGTCTCCCAAGTACCTGGGACTACAAGCATGCGCCACCATACCTAGCTAATTATTTTTGTATTTTTAGTAGAGACAGGCTCTTGCCACGTTGGCCAGGCTGGTCTCAAACTCCTGACCTCAGGTGATCCACCTGCCTCGGCCTTCTAATGTGCTGGGATTACAGGTGTGAGCCACTGCACAGGTAGACTTTTTGTTTGTTTGAGACAAAATCTGTCGCCCGGACTGGAGTGCGGTAGTGCAATCTCAGCTCACTGCAACCTCCGCTTCCCCATGCCTCAGCCTGCCAAGTAGCTGGGACTATATAGCTGCACCACCATGCCTGCTAGTTCTTTTTGTATTTTTAGTAGAGATGGGGTTTCACCATGTTGGCCAGGCTGGTCTCGAACTCCTGAACTCAAGTGATCTGCCCTCCTCGGCCTCCCAAAGTGCTGGGATTACAGGCGTGAGCCATCGGGCCCAGCTTTCAGACTTCCTTTTTAAAGCAAGATGAGGCCGGGCGTTGGTGGCTCACACCTGTAATCCCAGCACTTTGGGGGGCCAAGGTGGGTGGATCATGAAGTCAGGAGATTGAGACCCTCCTGGCTAAAATGGTGAAACCCCGTCTCTACTAAAAAAATTAGCCAGGCGTGGTGGTGGGTGTCTGTAGTCCCAGATACTTGGGAGGCTGAGGCAGGAGAATGGCATGAACCCGGGAGGCGGAGCTTGCAGTGAGCTGAGATCACTTCACTGCACTCCAGCCTGTGTGACAGAGTGAGACTCTGTCTCAAAATAAATAAATAAATAAAGCAAGATGAATACTGTCTGGCAATACGGCTGCACCCATGCTACACAGTGACCCAAACACAAAGCCAGAGAAAGTGACAACTTTTTCATCACTAATACCTCCTTTGTTCCCAAATCCACTAAGCCCAAGTCATCTGCTTCTGCCTATACTAACCTTGAAAAAGGGGACTCTCCTGGCAATAGGAGGTGTCAGCATACTCTCCAGCTTCTGGGAGAGATCTTCTAGCAAGAAAAGTAGCTCAGGGGGCCCAAGTTGCACAACTTCTGTCGCCTGTCACATGGAGGAAAGGATTAGTTCCAAGAATGTCCTAGTCATTTCATGATAATTTTTTTTATTTCTTTCTTCTTCGTAAATGTGCAGTGGCAAGATCATAGCCATTCCAGCCTTGAACTCCTGGGCCCAAGTTATCCTCCCATCTAAGCCTCCTGAGTAGCTGGGACTACAGGCACACGCAACCATGCCCAGCTACATCTTTTTTTTTTTTTTTAATTAATAAGAAATGAGGTCTCACTATATTGCCCGAGCTGGTCTCAAACTCCTGGGCTCAGATGATCCTTCTGCCTTGGCCTCCCAGTGTGCCAGAATTACAGGTATGAACCAGCACACCTGGGCTCAGCTAATTTTCAAATTTTTTTTATACAGATGGGGTCTCACTTTGTTGCTCAGGCTGGTTTCAAACTCCTGGGCTCAAGCAAACCTCCTGCCTTGGCCTCTCAAGGTATTGGGATTATGGACAGGCATGAGCCACCACACCTGGCTATTTCATGTTAATACTTCCCAATGGGTGAAAAAAAAATTTTTTTTTGAGACAGAGTCTTGTTCTGTCTCCCAGACTGGAGGGCAGTGGCATGATCTTGGCTCACTACAAGCTCTGCATCCCAGGTTCAAGCAATTCTCCTGCCTCAGCCTCCCAAGCAGCTGGGATTACAGGTGCCCACCACCAGCCTGACTAATTTTTGTATTTTTAGTACAGACGTGTTTCATCACGTTGGCCAGGTTGGTCTCAAACTCTTGACCTCAGGTGATACACCTGTCTCGGTCTCCCAAAGTGCTGTGATTAGAGGTGTGAACCACCACGCCTGGCCGGGTAAATAATTTGACTTTTATTTATTTATTTACTTATTTTTGAGACAGGGTCTTGCTCTGTTGCTCAGGCTGGAGTGCAATACTGTGTTCACAGCTCACTGCAGCCTCAACCTCCTGGACTCAAGTGATGGTCCCACCTCAGCTGCCCAGGTAGCTGGGATCACAGGTGTGCGTCACCACGCTTGGCTATTTTTTTTTTCTTTTTTTTTTTACTTTTTGTAGAGACAGGTCTCACTGTGTTACCTAGGCTGGTCTCAAACTCCCAGTACTTTGGGAGGTCAAGGCGGGCAGATCATTTGAGGTCAGGAGTCTGAGACCAGCCTGGCCAATATGGTGAAATCCCCTCTCTATTAAAAATACAAAAATTAGCCAATGTGGTGGTGGGCATCTGTAATCGCAGATACTTGGGAGGCTGAGGCAGGAGAATCGCTTGAGCTCAGGAGGAAGAGGCTGCAGTGAGCCAAGATCCTGCCACTGTACTCCAGCCTGATGGACAGAGCAAGACTCTGTCTCCAACAAACAAACAAAAAAACTAGCTGGGTGTAGTTGGGCATGCCAGTGGCCCTAGATACTTGGAAGGCTAAGGTGGGAGAATCACTTGATCCTTGAATCCAGGAGTTCAAGGTTGCAGTGAGCTATGATCTTGCCACTGCACTTTAGCCTGGGTGACAGAGCAAGACTCTGTCTCTAAAAAGAAAAGAGGCAAAGGAGGAAATTGCACCCATCTCATATAA